TCTTCTTCTTCTTCTTCTCTTTCTGCTCTCTCTCCCATCTCCAATATGCGATCACTGTGCGCGGATGGAGGTGACGTTCTTCAAAATTGATGCCAAACACTAAACAGTGCAATCTGCGTGTTGAAGTTTGACTGCGCATCGTCTTGTGTGGTAAGCATTGGCAACTGCGGCTCGGCGTCTGTGCAGCAGAGCGTTGTTATAGGCCAGCGTACTGTACGAGATGTAGTGGGACGTGTGGGCATTGGAGGAGAATAGGCTACAGTAGTGTGTAACCGAGGTGTGCTGCCGCTGCCGCTGCTGCTGCCGCTGGAGAGGACCTGCACCGGGATACTGTGGACTCTGAGAGCCGCGGTCGGCGGGGATGAGAGCAGGAGGAAGAGGTGTATTCACACTCTCCGTCCTATTGAAGGGCTTGTAGGGATGTGAGAGCATGAGTGAGTCGTGAATGCAGGAGGTGCAGGGTGCGTACAGTCACAGCTCCACTGAGGGGGTTCTACTGTATGTGAAGGGTCCAGCTGCAGAAGGTGCAGAGAGGATTGCGGAATTACAGTTTTGCGTATTTGTGGGGAATCTGGTTGTAGATATATTGAGTCTGTACAGGTAGAGGCATTTCACACCTTTGACTGGATATCCAGTGGTGAGGGATAGAGCACAGCTCAGGCTGCGTCCTGTCAGAAGTCATCAACTTATAGAGAACGTTAATTAGTGTCAATTGAATAGAGGCTCTTATAGTGAGCTGGCTGGGTGGAGGAGGATAGGACAGGCTGTTTGCAAGTCTAGAGATTTAAAAAAAGGGGAACTTAAACATGATCAGCTTTTTGTTTGGATTCAGACATCAGCCAACATCTGCAGGTCCTACAGATGTTGTCCTGTATTGTCCTGTAGTGTTTAGAGAGGCTGAATGTTGGAGATTGCTGCATTGGGTCTTGTTATACGGGCTCCACGTTGCTGTGCACTTGCTTCTAGGATGTAGTAGTAAAAACATTTGTGCACCGGGTAAAGATTTATCATTTGACACCCAAATTCATGCAGCGAGGATCAGATATTAGCTGCCAGTTAATACCTGCACAAAGCTGATTTCATTAGGTTACAATACTGTACATTTGTATAATGAGATAGATATATGGATTATCTGATATCTGAAATTTATTATTTTACTTTCCACTGTGAAACTGCCAGGATAAGGGGAGCTATACAATAAATAATTCTAAAGTTAAATTCTAATAATACTGCTTTGATCTGGGATAAAAACCAGTCAGTTATTGTAGTTTTAAACAAGTGAACATGTTTTGTTTCAGGAATGGGCAATGGAATGTGCTACAGCTTTGCAATGAGACGTCTGTGGGTCTGTGTCTTGCTTGTGAGCATCACCTGCCGTCTGAGGTAAGGAACTGAATCCTGTAACTTCGGACAACGTAGCGACACATTTTGAATAATTCGCCTCTCTGTAAATATAAACTGCTTCTGTGGTATTTGCGTGAATGTTTGGAATTAAATTAGACTGTTTTGAAAGTAAGTTAGGTTACATCACAGTACCACTGGTTTTAAGAGTTTTTCTAATTTGTGTGCTTATTTGAAAATCCTCTCATATCCAGCCTCTCTCAGGATGTAACTGGAACTCCTAAAGAGGCCGAATTAAATGACAACATTACCATCTTCACGCGCATCCTGGACGGACTGCTGGATGGTTATGACAACAGACTCCGCCCTGGACTGGGAGGTAAGCCCACTGGATATTCAAACCTCAGCACCTCTGCCATTTTGGTAATTAAAACAGTCACACATAAGCTAGATGAGAACTGATTGTGTCATTATGAATGTCTTTGGGGGGGGGGGGTTCTCTCTTTTCTAATAACTAACCAATACAGAAAGCTCTGCATTTTTGCATATAGATAAAAGATGCTCAGCCTCTGTATCGATAGCTCTGCACGAGAGATTACAGCCCGTCAGTGCACACAGAGAACAATGCACAGCACTGCAACATCTGTCTTCTGCTTATTCCACACAAGGGAAATGTGACTGTATTCATGAAGTCTTT